AGAAATTCTGTTGCAGTGATTTGTCCCGTTCTTTCCTAGGTATCGCATCACTATAGGTAACAAGACCTGTGTCTTTGAGAAGGAGAATGATCCCTCCATTCTGCGATCACCCTCAGCTGGGAAGCTTATCCAGTATGTGGTGGAGGATGGGGGACACGTGTTTGCAGGCCAGTGCTTTGCAGAAATAGAGGTAAAAGATTCTCAAAGAACTGACTTGGCTGTAGATGCTGAATCTGCTCAGGCAAAAACTGGGGGGAAAAATGTTGGAACTGGAAATTGAGCCTGAGGGGTGACTCACAGTATTTCCTTTCCAAATGTTGTCTGTGTTTTAACCTGGACTAGTGGAGGAATCAGCAGTGAGTGATGGGGTGGGGAAGAAATTACTTGACAGCTGAAATGTGTTAATGACTGTATACCGAGCGATAAGTGAAATCTCTCAGCAATGAGACCATGGTTATCATCTTGCTGTGATCCCAAGGGAGAGTGGGATCCGTGTGTACTGTTTTCCAGCTGTGAAGAAGGCCTTGTACTTGTAGACCACTACTTATTACTAACACAGACTCAGAAGCAGAGTTATGTGCCAGGATTAAGTAACAAATTAAAACTTCTCTGATTACCTGATCGTTTAGCAAGTTGATCGGATGAGTTGTTAACTTCCCTTGGAAGTTACTTAACTCTTAGAGGAGGAGGATGAACAATTTCTGCATCACTGTGAGGAAAGCACGAGAGATTGTGTGGGAGTGCATGGCTCAAAACAGATTTGAGGGAGGGGAGGGTGTGTGTTGACAGAGGGGCAATTAAACCAGTTGGGGACAAATGTGTAGGAGAAAAATATCAAGCCAGAGATCCAGATATTTTATGTAAGTGCCTTTATGCTGCAACAGAGCCACGGCTGAGAAGGAACCACCTACTCAGTTCCTGTGTTCCCAGTTGTGGTGTGTAGTATAGCAGTGGTAAGACTAGACTCTCTCCCTCCACACCCAAGCCCTTCTGCTGGCAGGAGCTTCCGTGGTTGATCTAAGGAAGCATCTCTCTTTGTGAAAAGCCATCTGAGACCTGTGACCTCTAGAAAGTAATCCTCGTTCCCTCTGCTGAAAGTGAGTGGGTTGCTGTAGCCTTTGAGAGTGGCTCTCCCACGTTCAGCCTTCAGAGTGCTGCAGCAGTAAATTGCATCTGCTTTGTTCATCGTGTTGAGTGTGGGGCCTTCTTGAGTACCTGCAGCGTGGAAGAGGTACCGGTCCTGAGGATGGCTTCCCGCTGCGCTAGCTTGGGCCAGCTGCTTTGTTCTACCATTCACTTCAGTGTCTGGGCTGTCGTTCCCAGTGTGTGCTTTTAAGCCTTGGAGCAAGCCTGAACACAGCAGGTGCTCCTGCAGGTTGGTTTGTCTGTGGTAGGACGTTGCCTGCTGGCTCACAAAACTAGAACCGTTTGGGGAACATGGAGGCTGAGTGTCTAACCTGTTTTCCTTGCTACAGGTGATGAAAATGGTGATGACACTAACAGCAGGAGAATCAGGCTGCATCCATTATGTCAAACGCCCGGGGGCAGTCTTGGATCCAGGCTGTGTGATTGCCAAGCTCCAGCTGGATGATCC